ATAATTCGCAGACTCAGGCAAATATAAATATTCATTTATATCGAATGGCAGGCGTTGTAATAGTTATCATTAGCCCTTAAGTTGACTTCAGGCTTCATATAGAGGGGAGGAACATCAAAGTGAAAAAAGTCGACAGGGGAGGCGGAAGAGAAGGGTGTTTCAAAGATGTAAAAGAGACAGACACAAAGGTAGAAAAAAGGTGAGGTGAGTACTGTGAAAGTAGTCGAATATGACATACAGTGGGGTGATGGTAGTTTGAAGTGAGAAGTCAGCTGCCGGTAAATAGACTTTTATGCCGTATGAGTATACGTTGCCCAGGGTGCACCGCGTGGAGGTAAGTCTATCCCACACCCCGAAGTCAAAAATATAATGTGAACTAATAGTCTGTTAGATTTTGAAATGATCAATGCAACATTTGGTAATTTTATGTTTGAAAGTGATAGCGTGTTTGTAAAAAATTATTTAATAATTTTTAGGATTTGAATCAGCAACAGAGATTAAAGATTAAACTCTAGAAACCAGAGATAGTGATAAATCATTACAGAAAAACAACCTAACGAATTTATAAATATAAATTCAGCCATCGTTATGGGGTTTCCAGGAGTTTAGGATTTGCTCGCGCAATAAATTCGAAATTGAAATAAAATCTTAATCTTCGCATGGCTATTTCATCTTCCCTATGATATTTGAGAAATAAATTTACCTTCCAATCACTTTGTAAAGGTCGAATCTATGGGTTATTAATTTGTAGAGTGCAAATTTCTAGCACGAGTAGAGAAAGCAATTTCATGCGCATTCGAACATTCTGGAGAGTGCGGTAGTGCGTGCAGGGAACTTCTTAGCTAATCAGCTTTTAATGTTCATTCAAGTAATGTTAGATCCATCCTATTACTAACTACGATTACTATGTGAATAATTTCAAAACAGCACTGCACTATCTATACCTCTGAGTTCTCTCTATAATTAAAGTAGCTTAACTAATTCCGGGTGCTCATCCATACTAGGGTATTTGCCAAAGAGATTTTAAAGGATAAGCCAGAGCTTATTCATGTAGCGATTCCCTGAAAAGTTTCCATTACACAGGAGAAAATTTTACGATGAGCCCTCCAAATCGATTGTTCAATGGAAGGCGGCAACGTGAATAACTTGAAGAGTGTAAGCAAAACTATGTATTCACTGATGATAATTAGAGTCCAATTATTGGATCCAATATATTTTCTTATTTCTAAATCAGGCATCTCGATAGTAATTACAACTAAAATTAAACAGAAAGACTCTATAACCACACAAACTTCAATATCTCTATTAGATTGTTGGCAAGGCTCATAATGGCGCTAGGCATAAGATTTCCCCCATCATGGTCTTTACCGCGGTTTTTTAAATAGTTAAGCTGAGATTGAACAATTACGCTCTATTTTGTGCCCCATATTTTTACTGCAGATTCCCGCTAACTTTACTCCAATTACCAGTGGCCAAATCTATCGATCCCATCTTTTCTTTTAACTGTTCCGACTTTCTGCTTCGCACTAGATTGTATTTTATTGCCATTTCTTGCTTTTGAATTATCATCATCGAACCAGCTGTCTTCTTCCTGTTTAGTTTTGACCTCCACATGATGGCTTTAATCGTATCCGAATATAACACATCCCTCAACAGACCATTCATGGCCTTTCACATGATCGCCTCGAAAAAGCCTCAAAATATGTTTTTTTTCGTTTTGCTATGGGGGGAAATAGATCGAGACCAATCAAAATAAGAGACTGTAGGACGAAGAAATTATGAGGTGCATTGTTGTTTCATATCCCTCTGATTCATGCTCTGGGATGTGGCATGACACATCCAGCCAATGGAACGTAGTATATAAAGTTAATCCACAAATTAGGATCACACTTAAATACTCCAGGTTCTTGCTGACTGGACAGTTTGCTAACCGATACTCTTAGGGATGATCATTTCCGCCGAAGGAGATCGGTGTGAATTTTAAATATTCATCAGTATATCATATTAAGGGGTTTATAATAAGTTCATCTTAGACTATACCACTTAAGAAATCGTAACAAGCATCAGCTAGGCCCTTCATGCTTTCTGAATATGAAAAGGTTGAGTGAGAGCTAGAAATGCCCTGACTGTTAAGCAAAAGAATAATTTGATGATTAGGTTCTGAGCACGCTGGAAATCCTCAGTTCTCAAGATTATGATTTTTTCCGAAAAAAACTTATCCATACGCAAAACATTTATGGTAAGAAGTGTAATGCTAGTTAAACATAAGGAAATTTTTGGAATTATTGGTCAAATTTCTTGGTCCACCATTGGACTTGAATTTCTTCTTACATGAACAGAAACTGCATAAAATGTTATATCCAGTTACTGTTGTCAAAATTAACGAAAATTGTATCAACCCTTTAACGGACCAAGAATTATACGGTCTTCCTTCAAGATAAGCTCCATTAGTACGAGACTCGAAATAAAAGGTGCTATTGCCGTTTAAGACATGTTCAATATCCCCCACATTAACTTATCACGCTGGCAACAATAATCTGTGAAACTCGCGTGAGTGCGGTTGGTTGCAATTTTCCATAAATCAATTCTGGCGTTAAAGAGTTAATAGAGGGTAAAAATAATTATTATATGAGCTTAAAAGAGCAAACTGCACTTTGAATGGCAGAACATATTTAGTTAATCATACTGAACACCTAATTTTATAACGCTAATATTTAGTTATAAATTAAACTTTGACACAGTTTTCAAATCTAGTTGATACGGTGAGTACAGCATCTTTTATATGATCATCAATCATAAATAGAACTAGAAAGACTAGTAAACCGAGGAAGGAAAATTTAGAAAGTGGAATCTATGTGAAAATTAGAATTAAAAAAGGCTACTTGGCGAATTTAAATCAGTTTAGTGTTAAATTTATAGAATATTACATATTCTTGTTTTAATTTTTCGTAATTTTCGTAAAAATTGCTTCTGTTAAGGAGAAATATATCAAATGAATTATTAAATATCCACTGAAATCGCAAAATTTATAATAGAATTTCAATAAAGTTAGCACTTTTTCCATTCATTAGGACGTAATAAATACACAGTCATCATATTAGAAATATGTAGGATAAATAAATTGATAGCAGAGGTATATTTATTTTTAAGTGAAATATAAGATAATAAGGCCAATTTTAATAAAGAGAATTGCGACCTCACCTATTGCCATGGGAAAATTTTAAGAAGAATAGAAAATTATAAGGTTCCAGGTAAAATATATTTTACACTTCAATACAAAACATTTAATCATGCACACTAATAATGCTTAATTCTTAAGGACGATTAAATAATATAATGATATTTAAAATAATCCTTAAGGAAGCGGCGTTTCAAATTACCGTGTCTTGTTTTTGAGGTTATGGCCACGGAGGTGCGTCTTGTGAGAGAAGGTGTTTCTTTGTATGAAGATGATCGTCTTTTGGACAAAGGAAAGCTAATTATTAAAGAGAGGTGAATTTCGTCATGAAATTTGGGGAAATCATTTCGGACTCTAACCTTTTTATGTTTTTTTTTCAGCTCAGTTGATTGGGAAGGGGAAAATCGTCAGTTCTCCTTAGAATACCAAAATATTTGCCTCCATGCCGTCAGTAGCACTCCATATGGTGGTGATGAAAATGCTAAGTTTCCTCATCCACACGTCTATCTCATGGTTGAGGGGGATCGAGTTTGGTCAAATGGCGAGACCATTCCACCAAATGGTGATACAGGCATGGAGATTGATAATGGGGGTAAATTTGCTTACTATCATCACTAAAGAATGAGTAAATAATCGATTGGTTATCTATTTGTATTGATCATTCCTGCTTTACCTATTCGAAATATAAATTTTTGCGGTTTTTTCGATAGATATCAGTAAACCTCTTTAAAGTTTTGATTTCGTCTTATATTTTGCAATAGCTGGTTTTAGCAAAAAAGGCATTTGATCCTCTTCATCCAGTTGAATAGGAGTTCAAGGTTAATCTATTCTTTATTTATTTTCAAAGAGCTGTTTCTATCTTTTGGTATTGTGTATTCGTTTTCTTTTGCACTATGTCTTTACTAACACCAGTATCGCTGTTTGTTCTATTTAGTACTTCAGTCTCATCTTATGATATTGCAGTAAATACCATTTCGATAAGGCTTTCATTAATTTTGATAAGGTTATTTGTTGATTATATTTAGTCCAAAGCCTTTCTGTACTATTACTTGTTTCATTAACCGACCTGTTTTTCACCGACTGTATATTCATCGGTGCGTACTTGCAGGTATCCCAGTAGCTATTCAGATACTTCTAGCAGTTCTTTTTAGAACTTGCTAACATCCCGATTTTGCTTCAGAAAGTAGTGATGACGAGCAAGGTGACTACCCACAGGATGATAATCCCCCAACATACAGTCTCCGTTTTTTACCAACTGACGAGCATGATCTACAGCCAATCTACGATGCTATTGCCGAATGTCAGGCCCTGAATCCAGATCCTGATGACATGTCGGACGGGGACTTTGAAGATGTTGCGGAAGAGAATGAAAATGGTGTTGAGGGTGAGCCTTGTTTTCAATAAGTGTTAGTATGACTCGAGTACTCATCCTAATTTTTATTTCTTTTCTTTCGTTCTCACTTTAGAAAACGGGTTAGATCAATTTGATCCCGACGATTTTGCATATGATTAAAGATAATCTTTTTGTATATGCGTTTTACTGAAGTTACATTTTTTACCATTACCGTTTTCTTGAAGTAATGATTGGCATAAATGGGCTTTTAGTCAATTTATTCCTTAGGTTGAGAATAGAGAAATACAAAATCTCTTTTTTGGGAAGCTTAAAGTTTCTTCAATGGCAGTAAGCATCCTCACTTGAATAGACCAAATGTGCCTAAATGAGTAGGTCCGTAGTCATTGTGTCCAATTGCGCTGTCTACAGTACTAACTCTGAAAGGGAGAAGAGTGCGTCTGTTGACAAAGAATTCCTCATCAATTAGGATTGTCGGTGATCCATTTAGAGCGTAAACACCAGCCACAGAATAGTGTATAGAGCCTTATTAGTTTGATTGTGGTGTACAGATAGAATCCCGAAATTAATTGAGCTATGTTACTGCTATAAAAAAGATGAATTGCGTTTATTGAACACATGCTCACAGCGAACACGCTTCATATTTGAATACGCTTAACGTAATGTTAATAGCTAATTAGCCGAAAAGTTCCCTGCACTCAGAATGTTCGAGTATGCATGAGATTGTGTTGGGATTGCATGCTCAACATGCTGAAGCTAAAAATGGATCCACCGCGGTTTTCAGATTACTAGAAACTTGGCACACTTCAATAACCTTAACTTCTAATTGATCGTAGAGGAAAGCTTCATACGCTAGTAGCCTCGACAATCTGAAGCGGGCAGCTAGATTTTCACTTTGCCTGCTGCATTCGTCTCTACTCAACAGCCTTCAACAAGACCTTATTGATATTTATTTATTTCAAATGGCAGGCGTTTTGATAGTCATCATTAGCCCTTTAGCTGACTTCGGGCTTCACAGAGGGAAGGAACGTCAAAGTAACAGAAAGTCGATGGGTGGGGAACAGAAGAGCGATTCACAGATGTAAAAGAGGCAGACAGACACAAAGGCAGAGAAAAGGTAAGGTGAGTACTGTGATGGGGTCGAATATGACATAGAGTGGGGTCATGGTAGTTTGAAGTCAGATGTCAACTGCCGGTTAATAGACTTTTTTGCCGTATGAGCAAACGTTCCCCAGACCTTATTAATATGCATTTATGAAATTTGTTGACAGCATATTAGGAACACAGAAAGCAATGTCTGGTATCGCGTTTCCTACTACAGAGGTGTGATCCTTTTTGCTATTATTTCCACTACAAATATTACAGTGCCTGTTAATTAAAAAAATACGAAATAAAAATTCCGGATGTCTTCCTTATTAGACTCCGCACATATCCTGGTTTATAAAGTTTCTACCTTAATTAATCTTGCTCCGTTAGTTTCCATCTTGAAGAAAAAGTATTTCAACTAGCTCATATCAAAAGTAGCGATATGTTTTATTGTCGGATGGATGGGATTGCAGATCAGGTATACAATTTTTGTAGACAAAAACAAATTATGAAATTTTTCGCAGTTTGCTTTGAAGGCTATATGGTGTGCTCCATAATAGATAAACACCAGGTCTCAGTGTTGGTATAACAATTAGGTTGTACGATCAGGAGAACTATTTGGAGTATTTTGACATTCGATTAGCCAAGGATTTGACATCATCAAGGAGAGACTCATATTCGTTAGTTAGTTGGGAGGACTCCGATTCCAATTCTAAGATACCTTCCATCATTGCAGTTTCCTCGGCCTTTCTTCGTGCTGCTTTTATTTCGAGACGTTTCTATAAATAAAAATAAAACGATGCGTTACAGACAGATATCGGTCATTATCAATCAACAAGAGATTTAGAAATAGCAAGTCAATCAAAAAGCCTTACACAGGGAGGCATTTCAAAGTCCCACGGTGGGACGATATTCCAACAAACTCTAACCACTTAAACTACTTAGTACATTTTCTATTTACAAGTTCAAAAAATCGCGCATTAAATGTTAATCATATCTCACTTACTATTACTTCACGAAGCAATTCCACAGACTCCTTTTCATAATTATCAGCGTATGCCTTCATTTTCTTATTCAAATCCAAATAATATTCATAGTTTTTCTGTTAATTAAAAACAGAACAGTTAGAAATGTGCTAGTAAAAGCAACAATGAAGAGAAGTGCCAGTAACGCCTACAGTATTTTGCTGAATTTCCGTTTGCAGCTTTTCTATATTCTCGTTTTTCGCCAGTGCCGATTGTCGTGCCTCGTCTATAGCCACTTCAGTCTCCTTTAACCACTGGCTGAAGGCCTCCTTCCTCTTGGCAGCTTGACGCTGGAACTCTTCATACTGTTTGTTGGACTCCTCTATGGCATGTTCGAGTTTACCCACCTGCTCCCGCATGCTAACACACTCTTCTCGAAGAGCCTCGGCCTCTTTACGTTTGCCTGCCGCTTCGCCCTGACTTTTTTCTGCCAGAGTAGCTAGTTTTGTACGCACTTCGGCCAACTCGGAACAGATTATAGGGATCTCCTTGAGGGCGTCGAAAGTATGCAAGTAGGTGCGCATTTTTAATTGAGGCAAGGAAGAATCACTCTACACATGAAGGGAAAACGATAAACATAGATATATAGGGAGGAGACACAGAAATGGACCGGTCGCCCGTTGGAAAAGGTACCATTTTAGAAAAAGATAATCACCTATATTGAACAAAGAATCAAAGCTGAAGGAACAATTGCATGATCAAATAGAAAAGAGATTCAAATCCATTTGTAAGACTCCATAAACGGTATTTAGAAAGTTAAGGTTAGTTAAGATTTCATGGTCATCACTCGCTCTACATTGGTGATGAACATGCTTGGCAACAAAAGACAACGGTCTCCAAAAAAGCTACCAAATTAAACTTAAGAGACTACGCTCTCGCCAGGCGCTTAGAGAGCTGACCTAATGAATTCATCTGGTAAGATTAAAGAGAAGCAATTTTGCTTTTGGGAGGCTTAAAAAGGCTATATTGTACCCTCAAAACCGAAGTCTTTGACCCCATGGGTACAAAAGAAAGAATACACAAGTTTGGTAAAACGTCAATGAGCCAATCGATGTAGCCAATCTAAATTGACCAAATAGAAGCATAATCTAACGGCTTAAACTGTAAAATCGATCCTCCAATGAATGAAGGGAAAAGTATTGAAGGATAATGTTGGTAACTAAATTTTGGCAGAAAGGAAGGAAATGCCTCTTACGCTCTACAAATGTACTTATCGCAATCAACTTCACCCGCCGTGCTTTAGAAGATGCGTATATGCAATTTTGATAGCAGGCAGATGACCTAAATAAAACCCAAAAATAAGAAAACAATACTAGTACATAAGGGTAGCCGGGTTTTCAGTAGCGGGTGCATGATAAACTATCCTTGAGACACAATAACTTGAGCTCGAATAACTTCCCTCTGTTAACAAGTGTAACTCGTTTTCCTATCTAATCATTTATATTGGACGCAGTGTTTTAACTCGTGACCTTGTAAGAGCCTGCCATTAGCACTTTAATTTAAGTTGTATTAGAAACCCCTACCATTCGAACAGCGAGAGAGTTGTATTCATCCAGAGCCGGTGCTACGGGCTTGTCCATGCGAACAAGTTCGATCGAACGTTCGTCTAATTGACGTAGTAAATCATCGCGTACAGCACAACGATCTTTATAACGCTCTTGGAGATTCTGGTAAGCGTTGACAATGTCTCCATATCTAGTAGGGAAAATATGAGGATTTATTTTCTAATTGATGACCAATTGTAGCTACAATGATAGGAAAGGCACATTCATCAAACCATATAAAACCAAGTAATTCTCCTGCTATTAAATGGAACAGATAATCATGAGAATACAAATAGTCATTTGGTACAACCGCTTCTTTTGCGGCCTTCAAAGCTGAGCTCTTACGCAAAGAAACATCGTAGATTTGAGGCTATGAATAAAGAAGCACTCAGATACTAATCTCTCCTTCCTTTACAAAATGTGATGCTAATAGCTATACTAAACTATTAAAAGATCTGATTGAGTCAAAAGCGCCCCGGTGTCTGCCACCACCACACTAACTATTGAATATGAGCTCATAAATTTTGATCTCGCGATTTCAATTTTTCAGATGCCAAATCTTCGCTACATTCCGGGTCATTTGCAAATGAGCAAGAAACATACTGAGCTCGTTGAGAAGCGACAAGATTTTCGAGGTTCTCAACTTCCGTTGCCGTCTCACCAACTTGAGAACAAATTGCTTGTAGATTAGCTGCAGATGCGTTGGCTTTCATCTAAGGGATAGCATATAAACAAGTTTAATACTAAATTCCCTTCGATTTGAAGTGGAGTTAGGATAAATTATTCCAAGCACTAACCTCAGCCTCTGGAATACGGTTCTTAAGTTGGTGAAGACGATCATTTTGTTCGGCAATTTCCCGCTCGAGTGAAGCCAGGTTGGAGCGCAAGTCACGTTCCTCTTGAATGAGAGTCGAGAGGGAAGGCTTGTTGCTGAGTTCCGCCAATTGAACTCTTAGTTCTTCCACATCCTCGGGTCGACAACCGAAGCTCTTGGCGATTTCTCGCTCAAATTCCTAAAAGATGAGAGAAAAGTATGACCCCTTCCAATATGCTAATATTTCCAAAGGGAAACAAGTTTGTTATAGAAAACTAGAAAACAAAAGTATGCTTCGATAAATTTGCTAGCGACTTAAAAACTGATAAAAAATGAATTTCAGGCAACCTTGAAATAAATAATCTAACTTGCAAAGATGTACAGATTCAATGCTCAATTATCATGATGGCAAAAAACTGATTCAAATAGTGTTAGAACAAATTTGGCTTTGTGGAATAGTTTGGAGAGCTTAAAGCCATTCATACAATAACCTCCGAAGTTTTGTTACGTTTAAGGAACCAAGTCCATTTTAATAATGCGGGCTTAGATTATCTCATACCACCAACTTCAGTCTGGCGATCGCCTTCGTTAATGAAATAAAAAAAACGCTGCTAGAGATCAATATTAGAAGGGACAATAGAGTGTCTACTTGGTCCACAGCATACCAGCGATGTGACCTTTTGATCTCCTCTCAGCTTAAGGGAACAATTAAAGAGATTTGAGGGCAAGGAATACAGGTAAACTTAGAATACCTCTCGAATTTGTAATGGTGGATCAGGTGAGTTTGCCTCAACGCATTTTCGATACATGCTGAAGATAATTTTACTCGCTGGTACTGATTCATTGCCCTCACTGAGGAAGATTTCATCCTGTCTCTGTAGAAAAGGGGAAAAAATGATGGTTAAAATTCACCATACTGGAAACTGGTACAGATCAGTTAAAAGTAATAAAACGCCACCTTAGATCTTCTCACTTTGCTATTACAACCCATTACACCAATTTCAATAGATGAATCTAAAGCGTAGCGACAACCTCAGCGTCAACCGATTTCAGAGAACAGGTGAGGGAGAACTGGCTATTTCCCAGCAATGCAGGTATCAAAAAGTACTATTATTGAGTAATTGTGTCACAGTAGCGAAGTCACGGAACGGTGTTCATTGAATTTACAGTCAAGGGGCGGAATAGCCGGACGCATTAATCAAGTTTGCCCAATAAATGAGGTGGCAGATTGCCAGTTTTTTCCCAGAGAAGTTCCATTACGTTACTTACCCAAAAGGAGAGTTGGAAGTGCTTTCTTTAAAATTTTCATGTGATATATCATGAAATAAACGACATCCCCACTGGTTGCGTTTCTGTTAATTCATTTGTAAATTCAGAGATAACCAGTTCAATACTCATCGATGCATATCCACTGAAAGGCGGATAAACAGATTGGATTAAAAGCTGGTCAAGAAACCAGTAAAAGTAACCAGAATTCTCATTTGAGAAAGACCATAATGCTACCAGCCCACTCAAGATAAGTGAAGATAATAACTACCCCAATGGACTTGGATTAAATCATATTATTATTAATTGTTCTAAGTTTCAGGTTTACTTAGAATTCCGTTCTCTAAAACATCTTGATAAATAATTAATATCGCAGAGCCTCAATTATGACGTACTCGAAGTATTTGAATTACTTAGAAGTCAAATTAACCCAGTACGGCGAATACCGATAGACATCTAAATTCGCAGACGAACAAATTAATGCTACCGAGCTAATACCGTTGATTACCTCTGCAGATGCGGATAATTCGGCTCGAAGCCAGTCCAGGGCAGAGAGGATTTGAGAGGCAGAGTGTGGAGCGCCAGGAGTTTGTACAGTGCTTCGTTTTAAAGGAATTGGGCAACCGAACAACTTCAAAGTGCTAAAATTTAACAAAAAATCATGAACGCCTCATGCAAAACCAGGGACCTTCTTAGTGTTATTAATACTTCTTGAACCGAAGATGAAATTTTGGAGGCTATTAAGATCAAGAATTCGGCATCAAAGATTCCGTGCTTACAAAGAAAATGGGTTCAAGTCATAAGGAAGATTCATAGAGAATGAGTCATCTGTGGGGAGTGAAAATTAACTAAGTTGTTCCTATATTGCGTCTTATTAACAACATTCACTGGCATGCTTTAATGCAGTACTTGTGGGCTATGAGTAAATTCTTTGCCACAGAAGGATACGACAGGACATCAAAGACAAGATTTGTCCTCCCTTACTTTCTGCTTACTAAGCTTATGGTTTACAACCAATTATGAGAATTATAATTAACACCATCAGCAGTGACAAAAATTAATATCATACCAATTAAAGAAAATAGTTGAGAAAGGAAAAAATACATAACTCAGTCAATTAGACCTGAGGTTAATGACATTTTTGACTACCAAAAATGTTAAATCAACTATCTTATTCATTCTGGAGCTATTTCCCACTCAAACGAATGTGATAACTCAACATCAAAATCCTCACATTTAGTGCTTACACCCATCCCATAAACGAAATATCAGAAATTATAGACTTTTACTCCTTAATAGGCAAAGTAATTTTCTGCCAAAAGCACGTAATAACTGTCACAAAGGACCTAAGCAACTAGGTGCCAAAATAGACCAAAATTAACAGGCACTCATTAAGCATAAATGATAATACCAGACTGCAGGGAACAAAGCAATGCTCCTAGGAGCTACGATGTAACTTACTTAATAAAGTAGTCCTCTAATTCACCTTTTCCTTGTGGAATATAGAAATTGGGAGAGAAACACGACATGATGTGACCGAATATTGAGAAGACCAGCCTTTGACTCGGACTTTGTAAGGCCTTCAATGAAATTTGACCGTCAAAGTTGGTTTTCGTAAGAAACTATATGGAAGGAATGCAGATAATATAAGACGTTGATTCGTTCACTTTGGATAAAGAAAATGTACAAGAGTATTAACCTCAATTAGATTCGTTATATGAGCTGTACCCTTTGGTTTAGGTCTATTTTGAATAGCAGAAGGGCGAGGTCTAATAACAAGCACAAAGAAAGCATAATAAAAATTGAAAAAATAATTAGCAATGTGGTCAATTAGAACAAAGTTTTCCACATACAACTGTGAAGGACCAGCGAGCCCGACCGAATTTCGGTCAATTAAACCAGGAATTGACGAGTAAGCACGCCTTGCTGCGTTTGAAAAGCGACTATTCTGCAAGTAACAAATTTTAAGTTACGATAATCTGACAAAAACGTAAGAAGGCAAAATTAAAAATGTCCAACGCGGCAACAGCGAAGCAAGCTAGAAATATCAATATAGTCTGAAAAGCTGGATAAAACTATGCATTAAGTCACCTTCTGACAATGGAAAAGCTCGCAACTAAGGTGATCTGCATATTATATTTATAATGAAATAAAAATATGAAATACTCAGTTATATATTTTGGCAGAGTCAATAAACTAGATATCAAATTCATTTACTTTCAATAACAAAGACCAGAGTATTTATAACTGAGCATGAATACCATAAAAAGAAAAAATAGACAAGATATGCTACATACGAAAAAAATGTTCAACTAAGTACAACTAATAAATTAAATAACTAAGCGAAAGAATGATATAGAGTACGAGGCTAACTATTGTAAGCAAAAAACGAAGCAATAAATAATCCCCTGAATTAAGTTAAAAAAGAATAAATAGGTTCGATTTAAAAAAAGATGCATGCTTACCAAATCTCTGGCAACCGACTTCTTAGACATCATCTATTTCGCTAAAAAAAGCTGCTCAATATTCGATGCGCAAAAACAAATAATAATTCAACAGTTTATTGAACAATAATTATTAAAGTTCAGTTAGGTAGACCATATAATTCCATGTATTTAAATTAGTTTTAAATTTAATTTTATAATATTTATTTAATTTTAAAATCAAACTATGCATGCAATCTAACACATTAACATTAAATCAAGTGATTAGCTAACATAAAATATTGATTCACAGGCATTTTTCCAGTTTACCATTAGCTGTAAATCGCTAAAGGGGTTTAACCAGGAAGATAGGAGTTTCTGTCAAACCTAATTTTCGTATCTTCTATATTTTCAAAGAATTGACTTTTAAAAGTTTCGATATTTTGTCACTATGTCATCGTCTTGCTTTTTTCTGAGTCGTCACTGGCCCTAGTATCGTTGTGCTTTAGTCTATTTAATAATTAGATCAATTCTTATAGTACTGCATTAAATACAATTTCGTTAAGGATTTTATTAACATTTAATAGGGTTATTTTTCGATTTCCTTTAATCCACTGTCTTAATGTACTAATAATTGTTTCATTAACCAACCTGTCGTTCAATGACTGCACATTAGTTCGTTCGTACTTGCAGTTATAACAGCAATTAAACCTTTATTAATGCACAAAATCTGAGTTTTGAATTGAAAAGACTCCAAAAATTTCCTAATTTTGTATAGATAAATGCTAAATGGTTCCTTATTTTATGACTTAATTATTGGAGTTAATGTTTCTTGAAGCGGGGTGTGCGATATACTTAACTCCACGTGGTGCACCCTGGGCAACGTATACGCATACGGCAAAAGGTCTATTAACCGGCAGTTGACTTCTGACTTCAAATTACCATCACCTTATCTTATGTCATATCCGACTACTCTCACAGTACTCAACTCACCTTTTTTTACCTTTGTGACTGTCTCATTTACATCTTTGAAACACTCATCTGTTCCACCCCCCCCCCCAAAGATTTTTTCACTTTGATTTTCATTCCCTCTGTGAAGCCTGAAGTTAACTAAAGGGCTAATGTTAAATATCAAAACGAGTGTCATTTGATATAAATAAATGTTTCTAGAAGCTCATTTTAGAATTTTCTATTGCCCTCGATATTGTTTTGGGTAATAGCCATGACAAGAGTTGATATGACAAATGTACCTATCCTAATTTTGTTACTTACCTTTTTTCTCACTTTAGAAAACGGAATAGACTAAATAGCTCCCAGCTGTTTTGCAAATGACTAAAGACAAGCTTTATGTATGTGTATTTAGATGAAGTCAAATTTTTTACTATTACTATTTTTTTATTCAATGAATAGCATAAATGGAACTTTAGCCGATTTATGACCCATATTGAGAAAAGAGAAATTCAATATCTCTTTCTTGGGGAGTTTAAAGTCTCTTCTATGGAAGTAGTCACCGTCACTTGGGTAAAGATCCAATGCATCTAAGTTGGTTGGTCCGCAGTCATTGTGCCAATTGCGCTGCCTTCAATATTAGCTGTGGAAAAAAGAAGACATTACGTCTATCGACACAAAGAATTCCTCATTATAGCAAACGCGCTTCGTATTTAAGTACCTTTAACGCAATTTGAATAAATATTATTAGCTAATTAGCTGAGAAGTTCCCTCCACTCAGAATGTTCGAGTATCTATGAGATTGCTTAATTTCATTGTATTAGGGTTGCACACTCTCCACTCTAAGTTAAAACTGTTTTTAAATGAAGAGAAACTTAGCGCACTTCGCCTACCTTAACTTCGATCCTCTAATTGATCGTTGGGGATAAATACATATCGTAATCAGCATCGCTATTCAGAAGTTGGCGGTTGATTAAAAAATAATTCAGCCAGAATATACTATATTTCACTTAGCATCCGTCTGAGGATTCTGTTATTGAAGAATTTTCAACGTTATAAGTGCTGTTTGAAATATTTAAATAACCAATAAAAAAACATTTAATGTCATGTTATATGCATTTATGGAAGAAATAGAAAAATTATCACGGATCAGCAAAATTTAATCATAAATTGAGGTTAAACCCTTTTAGATAATACCTCCTGAAGAGCTTTTCAACTGAAACGTTTTTATGCATCAAACTAATTGTCCTTTGATATGGCGCACTAGGGAAATGGACTTTTCTAATGCGCCAATTGCTATTGCAGATGTTGATGAATTATCATGTACAGGAGAGAGTGAGCACACAGAACTGATTCCAGACGGTGTTCTAAAGCGCTCTCTGTCTGATCCATTTGATATATCTGGTGGATTACAACTTGAAGCATCTCTTGAACATCTAATATGGACTTTTGATGATAATGTTTCTCATGGTTTACTAGATTCTCATAACTTTAATGAAAGAGATGCTTCACGAGATCCTAAAGATAACAAAGTTACACTTGATGCAATTAAGTAAGTTTAAACTTAATGCTAGTTTCATGTTAAGATCATTTTGGCGGATCAGCGTTACGCCAATTGAGAATCCAAGAAAATCTTATCCTCTTGAAAAAATGCCAATTACATTTGATACGGTATATCATTCAATATTTTTTAATTTAAATTTGATTTTTAATGCATATTTCATGTTTTAGGAGGATCTCCATATGGCAGACGCTGAATCTGTTTCAGAAGCGGAATTCGAAGCCTTTTCCCCAAATGCAGATGTCCTTGTAAGTGTATGTGTTAGATTATTGTATGAATTGGACCGAATTTTTATTGCCGGCTTAGATTTGATTAACACAACTTTCGCTTTTATATTTGTTAGTTATTCATTATTTATTTAATATTTGAAAATTTTTATTGGACATCATTAGTTGTAACTTCCAATTTTCGAATTGCATTGCATCTATTACTAAATTGAGAAATATTTTATAAATCTACTTTGAAATTTATTATTAAAAATAGAGTTCTATATATGGATTATGAATTACCTCAATCCACTCCACCTTTATTTGGTCACTTATTCCTCTTTTCGAAGTGAAATCCTTAATGTCAAAATCACTTGCGTTCTTCTCATTTCTACTTCGAGAATAGACAGGTTTCGGCAGAACTTCACCAGTGTAACTGCGGTTATCGTTAGATGACCCCACATTCAACTTCTTATTTTACATTTAGACCTAGGTGTATGAGAAAGGAAAGAAATTTAATGATTTTGAATGTGAAGTTTGAGAAATGGGAAGTCCTGCGACCTCATCTCTTATTACGATAAGAGCGGGGGTGATTTGAAGTACAGGTCTTGTATTCAACGATTACACTCTTAATCGGATTGGTTACATTGGTCTTTCCAACTCAGTCCTCATTCAACGTCTATCACGCTATTTTGCGTATCGACGGTTTGGTCAAATTATGATGTGATGTGATTTATGATGTGTCTTAACTGAAATCACTGTATTTCTATAAAGTTACACAGTGCATATATTTGGTTTTTTACGATTTCTAATTTATTGTCACAGATTTAAAATGGTTGTAAGCTTTTACAGAGGTGAAACCACGCATGGTTGTGATTTACTTTGGAATGATTACCTCAATTTTCCAAACACAAGCAATCAAAGTAGTTCTAGGTAAAACTGCCTTATGAGCCCAACCAAGTTGGATTTTCTATCCTCTCATAGAACAGTTAGGTTAGACAGATGTGCATTTGAAAGTAAATGAAAAGGGAGTGTTGAGTGACAATCTGAAGGCATCAGTATTGAGGGGGAACATCCCCGAGCGTGGAAGACAGGAGAAATTAATTAAATTTTAAGACACAAGCTATTTTTACTCTCTGTGGATATAGGATGTGCATCCCATCAACAAGCTCCAACTGACTTATGGGTATGCGCGCAAAACAGACAGAGTAGGCATATGAATCAGCGTGCGCAGTTACTACAAGGCAAAGCAAATGCCTTTTGAAATGAAAACCCTGAATTTATAGCAGTCATACACGCTTCATAGCATTCCTTTTAGTAAGCTGAAATAAATGTATTGTTTTGAGACGCGTACATTTTGGAAGTGTCAGAGAAATCGTGTAGTTATTTTGTATATCTTTGATATTCAACAAAAAGGCCATATAGTTGATTTCGATTATTCGAATTAAACAACTTTTCATCTTTAAATTTGCTTTAATAACATATGCTATTTCCCTTTGGCATACTACGTGAAACCACCTTTTTCATTATTGATGCTCTTTCAACTGAATATGCAATATATTTATAAAAAAGTCAAAATTTTATTGATGAAGATGCGTCATTGATATTTAAAAGCGAACTCAGTAAAATCTTAAATAAAATGAAATAAAGGAACTTTACTCCAATAAACCTGTAATTACAGCTATTCGTCCGAGTTAAAACCATTGGTGTGTGATTGGTGAATCGAGATGTGAAGTTCAGTTGCGAATGGCATTTGCGTATGGAGATAATCATTTAGAACGTTTTTCCCTTCAAGGCGTTTGAAAATTGGTGATGAACGCTTTTAATTTTTTTCCAGTATTCTAGTTTGGTTATCTTTTTTAGAATTCGTTTGCCATTGGTGGGTGGTATTTTCATTTTTAAAATACCTACCATTTTAGCCGCTTTGACTTTTATTTTACGCTATCTAAAAGCCGCGAAGAGTATATTGAGGAATATCTCTCTCAACTTAACTCATCCTCCAATTTACTCCTAGCATTTGAACAAATTTAAGTATTCTTTCATTACTTGTTCACTTAGGAAAGAATAGGCATTTTTATTTTAGCACCTCATACTCCTTATCAGTATACTGCCTTTTGCTAGTGCTTATCTTATTATTATAATCAATGTATTTTAGAGTCTAACATCTTATTTGCCATTGTGAGTTTAAACCAAATCCCCTATTTTATTTCTAAGCACTCTTTTTCTTAAAAAGTTTCAATGCCGCCTTTGCATTGACTTATGACAAGTGTTAAAGCAATACTCATAAATGGAATATTACTTAAACTAAAC